ATTTGTGTTGTTTTTTGTTGTAAACATTATTTGGAATATGTGGAAAAGAATGCAAATAATTGTTAGTTTACGGCAGGCTAGCCAAAATTGCTTAGATATTATTAAATGTATAAAAATATTAATAAATTTAAATGAAATAAATAAATATAAAATATAATATGTTTTTAAAAATATCTGTGCTTTTTTGCTGGAAAAATTGCTGAGAAGATAGTGAAAAACTGGTTGCAAATATGTGACAGTTTACAGGAAATTGGCCAATATGGCTTATGTTGTTAAATCTATAAAAAATATTAACAAATTTGAATTAAAATTTTATAAAAATGTTATAAATTTAAAATTTAATATGGTTTTTATTATATTTGTTTATTTTTCCAACAAATTTGTTGGAAAAATAGTGATAAACTTGTTGCAAACATTTGTCCACTTACAGTTTACGCAAGGCTGGCCAAAATTGTTAATAGATTGTTAAATTAATAGAAATAGTAACAAATTCAAATTTAAGTTTAAGAAAAATATGTCTAACGTTAAGTTAAATATGTTTTTAATTATTTTGATGTTTTTTTTATAAAATTTGTTGAGAAAATAGTAAAAAAAAACTTGTTGCAAACTTTTGACAGCTCATGGCATGCCGTCCAAATATTTAAATATATTAACTATTCTGACTTAAATTTTAATAAATATAAAATAAAGAGGTTTGAGCATTTCATTTGATCACTTTGGTACGAAATTGTCCCGCTTTACAGGATACCGGTCAAAAATTGTTATGACTTTTTAATTAATTAATTTATTAACTGAAAGTTTAGGGTTATTTTTGTTAATCCTTTATAAAATAGTAATAAAATAATAACAATTTTGTTTGTTTTTTTTTCGTTTTTAATATTTTTTATTATTTGTTTTTCTCTTTCATACACAGGGTTTTAATTTTTTTTTCATCTTATTATTGTGTAAACTTTTTCTTATTTTTCTTTTTTTTTTTTAATTTATATTTTTTAATACAATTATTATAATATTAATATATAATGTATACGTATATAATAATCAATAATAATAAGAATAATATAAAGTATTATATAATTGTTTTTATTATTATTATTATTTATTTATATTAAATGGTAAATTTAAGAATTTTGGAATTATTTTTCTTAGTTTTGAGTTGTTTTGAAAAAATGTTGTGTTTTGTTTAAATAAAAATTATATAATTTTAATTTATTTTAAGCCAAAAACTAATAAGCATTTTAATTAAAATAATAAAATTATTATAAATCATTTATTTATAACATAATAAAGGCAACGTATTGTTTTTTTTATTATAACTAATGCTAATTTATATAAAAAATTATTATTTAAAAGAAAGAAACAAAAAGAAATTATATTTTCAAGGACGTTTTAGGTTAAAATATACAAAGTATTGGTTTAAATTATAAAATTAATTATGTTTTTCTTTTTTTTTTTAAGAATTTATAAAAAAATAGTTTGTTTTGTATAGTAGATTTTCAAATAATTTAAGCATAACTACGTTTTAATTATTAAAATAATGTTGCTTTATTTTTAATAATTATTATTTTTTTTTTTTAATTTTATGTTATGTTTTTAATTATGTTGTAAATTATAAAAAAAAATTGACTTAAACCTTAAATGATAATTGCTATTTTGTATATTTTCTTTTTTTGTTATTGATTTAACTTATTTTTTTGTTATAATAAAAGAAAAAAGTTTTAGAACTATTAAGGGATTGGGAATAAATGTTTTAAAAACTGAGAGATGGAGGAGGGAGAGTCAGAGTGTAATGGGTAGATTTAATACACAAGAGTTGTAAAGAAATTAAAGCGCTTAGTAAGGATGAACCTAAACTTAAGATGGCAAAAGAAAGCTGTATCAATGTTGTTTGTGCTATGCAAGAGCAAAACATCTAAAAAAAAAATTTCTTTTGAATTCTACACAAAAATATATGAGTTTGAAGAAGTAAATCTCTTATCTAAGGGATTTTTGTTTAATTTCGCCTCTTTAAGTAAACTCTTAATGGGGACTTTTATCTTTTCATTACTTTTTTTTAATACAATAAGTTTTATTATTCATTTTATAGGTATTTTTTTTCTTAAAGGTGCAAAGTTCTTTCTTTTCTATCAGGTCAGTGAAGATATTTTTAAGTTTTCTTTATAATTTTATGTATATTTTTGGTTTGATTTCTAGATTTTTCTGTTAAGTGGGTTGAAATGTTTGTGGTTTTTTTGTTTTCTTGAGTAATTGCTAGTACAAAAAGCTTTTTTTAATAAAATATTAATACAAAAGTTTATAAATTTTTGTTTTATTAATAATAATTTTTTTAAATTTGTGTATTTTCTTAAAAAAAAGTTAAACAAATTTTTTGTTATTAAGTCCTTTAAGGCTTCTTTTTCTAGTTTTTTTTTTTCTTTGTTGTAATTATTGGCATCTTTATGTTTGTGTACAAAAAAAGTGGCAGTTTTATTTCAAAATATAAAAATTAATTTGGTTTTCTTCTTAATTTTTTTAATAAAATTTGATTCAACATAAATTTGTTTAATTATTTAGACAAATTGCCAAATGTATGCAAATTGTTTGTAATTTTCAAAATTTTTAGAAAAAATTGTTTGAGCTTTAAAATTACAAGTTTTACTACAAGAAATTGTAAGTTTTTTGTTAAATAATAAAGTTGTAACAGTGAAAGTTATAAGTTTTTTAGTATAATTATAGATTTTTATATGAAAATAAAGAGTTGATTTCTTTTGCAACTAAAGATTTGCCTTCAATATGGAAAAGTCTTCAAAACAATTGAAATAGAAATCGATTTTCACTAAGAGATATCTCTATTTGGCTTAGAAAATCTTAAGTCATAGTTTGTTTATAGTTTTAATTAGCAAACTTTTAGTTTGAATCAGTCTGGCTATAGTTTTCTTTAGAAATCATTGTTCAGAAATAGTTTGACTATAGATAACTTTTGTTCAGAATCCGTTTACAGTTTTAATTAGAAAACTTTTAGTCGAAATCAGTCTAACTAGAGATTTATTAAGAAAACTTTAATTCGAATCAGTTAGACTATAGTTTTCTTTAAAAATCTTTAGTCAGAAAGAGGTTGAATATTCCCTAGATAACTTTAGTCAGTTTGTGCACAAAAGTTTAATTACAAAATTGTTAGTCCAAATCAGTCTAACTAGAGTTTTCTTTAGAAACCTTTAATACGAATCAGTTATACTATAGTTTTCTTTAAAAAACCTTTAGTTCGAAACAGTTACACTATAGTTTTCTTTAAAAATCATTAGTCAGAAACAGTTTGACTATAGTATTCCTCAGAAAACTTTAGACAGAGTTTGTGCACAGTTTTAATTACAAAATTGTTAATCTGATTCAATACGAATATAGTTTTCTTTAGAAATCTTTAATCCGAATCAATTAGACTAGTTTTCTTAAGAAAACCTTTAGTTCGAAACAGTTAGACTATAGTTTTCTTTAAAAATCATTAGTCAGAAACAGTTTGACTACAGTATTCCTTAGAAAACTTTCGTCAGAGTTTGTGCACAGTTTTAATTACAAAATTTTTAATCTGATTCAATACGAATATAGTTTTCTTTAGAAATCTTTAATACGAATCAGTTATACTATAGAAAACTATAGGTTTCTTTAAAAATCGTTAATCAGAAATAGTTAGACTATAGTATTCCTTAGAAAACTTTCGTCAGAGTTTGTGCACAGTTTTAATTACAAAATTTTTAATCTGATTCAATATGAATATAGTTTTCAATAGAAATCTTTATTACGAATCAGTTATACTATAGTCTTCTTTAGAAAACGTTTAGTCCCTTTCAGTTTGACTATAGTTTTCTTTAAAAACCATTAATCAGAAACACTTTAACTATAGTATTCCTTCGAAATCCTTAGACAGTTTGTGCACAGTTTTAATTAAAAAATTTTTAATCTGATTCAGTGCGTCTATAGTTTTCTTTGGCAACTTTAGTCTGAATCAGTTAGACTACAGTTTTCTTTAAAAAACCATAAATCAGTAACAGTCTGGCTATAGTTTTCTAAAGAAAACTTTAGAAACTTCTTCATAATTAATCTGCCTCGAGTTTTCTTTAGTTTACTAAAGTTCTTCAAAGAAAACTTTTGTCGTAATCAGTTTTCTTTTAGAAAACTTTATTCAGAGTCTGTCTTTAGTTTCAAGAGACTACTGTATCCAAAGTCAATCTAATCAGAATCAAAAAAGTTTTCCATTCTGACAAGAGTTTTTGATAGAAAACTTTTTCTTTTGGAATTTTTATTCGAAAACTTTTCCACTGTTAAACTTAAAACTTTTCTAAAGCCAATATAATAATTTTGTTAATATTTTTTAATATTTCATAAAAATTATTACAAAATACAAAACAAATAGTATGAAATAAAATATCAGAAAAATGGATGGAAAAAAGTTTGTATGAAAGCTTCAAGTTTATTGGAAAAAAAAGACAGTCAAACTTTCGTCTACCAAAAACACATAAATTATTTAATAAATAACTTAAAAAGCGCTATCTTTTCTTTAAAAAGTTATAATTGAAAAAAAAAAACTAAAAATTACTTTATTTTAAAAATACAGAAAAAATAATACGTTTAATTTTTTTTTTAAAGGAGGGCAGGAAATAAAAGAAAATTATTTATATGTTTCATACATAAAAGAAAGAAAATCAATCAAAAAAAAAAAAGCATTTTAAAAAGTAATTTAAAAATAACTAAATATAGAAAACAATTTGTTTAAATATACAACTTAAGCGCGTAATAAAAAAAAAAAAACTTATTTATATAAAAAAATTAAATGAAAATAAAAAAAAAATTTATAGTTTTCTGTTTCAATTTGCAATATATAATAAAGAAAACTACTTTCTCTATTAATTTGTTATTTTAATTGTTGTTTTATGTTTTGTTTGTTTTAAGTGTAGTAAATTGTATTAATTAATATTTGTTTTCTGTTATATATTTTTTAAATATTTTGCGTTTTCAACCTTTTACTCAAATTGTTTCTTATTTTTTTTTGTTTGACTTAAGAATATAGTGTACAATCAATATAACTGGTGGGCACAAAACCCTCATCCCAACCATTTGTATTATTCATGCGACGCACACGCGTCCAACCATCACCTTGATCTATTTCTATAACTTGTAATTCTTCGCCCTCATTCATGGGTATGCTGCCCTCACTGGTGGCTGTGTTTCATAACAAAAAAAGATCGATTAATAAAATTTGTATCTAATTATATATTCAACAACTTACCTTCAAATGGATATAAGGCTCGACATGTACCCAGAGGTTGTAGTGGTTCTAGTTCACTTTCATAATACGTTTCTTCACCCATGGCATTTTCGTTTGCACTTCCTTGTCCCGAACCCGGCAGTGAGGTGTGTGATGTTCCTAAGCCACTTTCAGGACTAGCCGAACTGCTGAATTTAAACCGTTTAGGGGGTGGTCGTGAAAAGAATTTAAGGATATTCGTTAAAAGATTTATTTTCTTAAGTTGGATTTTTATATCTTTTATATAGAAACAAATAATTTTAATCTTTTAATTTTGTGTTTATGTGTGTTAAATGTTTAACAACTTTTGTTTAAAGTTTCAGAATTATTTAAAATCTATAACGGGTTAATATTTTATTTAGGGCCTTATGAAACGCAAACACAAAATATTTTTCAGTTCTAGTTCGATTTAAGTAAAGTTCTAGTTCAGTTCTAGTTCAGTTCTAGTTCAGTTCTAGTTCGGTTCTAGTTCGGTTCTAGTTCAGTTCTAGTTCAGTTCTAGTTCAGTTCTAGTTCAGTTCTAGTTCAGTTCTAGTTCAGTTCTAGTTCAGTTCTAGTTCAGTTCTAGTTCGGTTCTAGTTCAGTTCTAGTTCAGTTCTAGTTCAGTTCTAGTTCAGTTCTAGTTCAGTTCTAGTTCAGTTCTAGTTCAGTTCTAGTTCAGTTCTAGTTCAGTTCTAGTTCAGTTCTAGTTCAGTTCTAGTTCAATTCTAGTTCAGTTCTAGTTCAGTTCTAGTTCAGTTCTAGTTCAGTTCTAGTTCAGTTCTAGTTCAGTTCTAGTTCAGTTCTAGTTCAGTTCTAGTTCAGTTCTAGTTCAGTTCTAGTTCAGTTCTAGTTCGTTCTAGTTCAGTTCTAGTTCAGTTCTAGTTCAGTTCTAGTTCAGTTCTAGTTCAGTTCTAGTTCAGTTCTAGTTCAGTTCTAGTTCAGTTCTAGTTCAGTTCTAGTTCAGTTCTAGTTCGTTCTAGTTCAGTTTCTAGTTCAGTCTAGTTCAGTTCTAGTTCAGTTCTAGTTCAGTTCTAGTTCAGTTCTAGTTCAGTTCTAGTTCAGTTCTAGTTCAGTTCTAGTTCAGTTCTAGTTCAGTTCTAGTTCAGTTCTAGTTCAGTTCTAGTTCAGTTCTAGTTCAGTTCTAGTTCAGTCTAGTTCAGTTCTAGTTCAGTTCTAGTTCAGTTCTAGTTCAGTTCTAGTTCAGTTCTAGTTCAGTTCTAGTTCAGTTCTAGTTCAGTTCTAGTTCAGTTCTAGTTCAGTTCTAGTTCAGTTTCTAGTTCAGTTCTAGTTCAGTTCTAGTTCAGTTCTAGTTCAGTTCTAGTTCAGTTCTAGTTCAGTTCTAGTTCAGTTCTAGTTCAGTTCTAGTTCAGTTCTAGTTCAGTTCTAGTTCAGTTCTAGTTCAGTTCTAGTTCAGTTCTAGTTCAGTTCTAGTTCAGTTCTAGTTCAGTTCTAGTTCAGTTCTAGTTCAGTTTCGTTCAGTTCTAGTTCAGTTCTAGTTCAGTTCTAGTTCAGTTCTAGTTCAGTTCTAGTTCAGTTCTAGTTCAGTTCTAGTTCAGTTCTAGTTCAGTTCTAGTTCAGTTCTAGTTCAGTTCTAGTTCAGTTCTAGTTCAGTTCTAGTTCAGTTCTAGTTCAGTTCTAGTTCAGTTCTAGTTCAGTTCTAGTTCAGTTCTAGTTCAGTTCTAGTTCAGTTCTAGTTCAGTTCTAGTTCAGTTCTAGTTCAGTTCTAGTTCAGTTCTAGTTCAGTTCTAGTTCAGTTCTAGTTCAGTTCTAGTTCAGTTCTAGTTCAGTTCTAGTTCAGTTTCTAGTTCAGTTTTAGTTCAGTTCTAGTTCAGTTCTAGTTCTAGTTCAGTTCTAGTTCAGTTCTAGTTCAGTTCTAGTTCAGTTCTAGTTCAGTTCTAGTTCAGTTCTAGTTCAGTTCTAGTTCAGTTCTAGTTCAGTTCTAGTTCAGTTCTAGTTCAGTTCTAGTTCAGTTCTAGTTCAGTTCTAGTTCAGTTCTAGTTCAGTTCTAGTTCAGTTCTAGTTCAGTTCTAGTTCAGTTCTAGTTCAGTTCTAGTTCAGTTCTAGTTCAGTTCTAGTTCAGTTCTAGTTCAGTTCTAGTTCAGTTCTAGTTCAGTTCTAGTTCAGTTCTAGTTCAGTTCTAGTTCAGTTCTAGTTCAGTTCTAGTTCAGTTCTAGTTCAGTTAGTTCAGTTCTAGTTCAGTTCTAGTTCAGTTCTAGTTCAGTTCTAGTTCAGTTCTAGTTCAGTTCTAGTTCAGTTCTAGTTCAGTTCTAGTTCAGTTCTAGTTCAGTTCTAGTTCAGTTCTAGTTCAGTTCTAGTTCAGTTCTAGTTCAGTTCTAGTTCAGTTCTAGTTCAGTTCTAGTTCAGTTCTAGTTCAGTTCTAGTTCAGTTCTAGTTCAGTTCTAGTTCAGTTCTAGTTCAGTTCTAGTTCAGTTCTAGTTCAGTTCTAGTTCAGTTCTAGTTCCGTTCTAGTTCTAGTTCAGTTCTAGTTCAGTTCTAGTCATTCAGTTCTAGTTCAGTTCTAGTTCAGTTCTAGTTTCAGTTCTAGTTCAGTTCTAGTTCAGTTCTAGTTCAGTTCTAGTTCAGTTCTAGTTCAGTTCTAGATTCAGTTCTAGTCGTTCTAGTTCAGTTCTAGTTTCAGTTCTAGTTCAGTTCTAGTTCAGTTCTAGTTCAGTTCTAGTTCAGTTCTAGTTCAGTTCTAGTTCAGTCTAGTTCAGTTCTAGTTCAGTTCTAGTCAGTTCTAGTTCAGTTATAGTTCAGTTCTAGTTCAGTTCTAGTTCAGTTCTAGTTCAGTTCTGTCAGTTCAGTTCAGTTCTAGTTCAGTTCTAGTTCAGTTCTAGTCAGTTCTAGTTCAGTTCTAGTTCAGTTCTAGTTCAGTTCTAGTTCAGTTCTAGTTCAGTTCTAGTTCAGTTCTAGTTCAGTTCTAGTCAGTTCTAGTTTAGTTCTAGTTCAGTTCTAGTCAGTTCTAGTTCAGTTCTAGTTCAGTTCTAGTTCAGTTCTAGTTCGTTCTAGTTCAGTTCTAGTTCAGTTCTATTCGTTCTAGTTCAGTTCTAGTTCAGTTCTAGTTCAGTTCAGTTCTAGTTCAGTTCTAGTTCAGTTCTAGTTCAGTTCTAGTTCAGTTCTAGTTCAGTTCTAGTTCAGTTCTAGTTCAGTTCTAGTTCAGTTCTAGTTCAGTTCTAGTTCAGTTCTAGTTCAGTTCTAGTTCAGTTCTAGTTCAGTTCTAGTTCAGTTCTAGTTCAGTTCTAGTTCAGTTCTAGTTCAGTTCTAGTTCAGTTCTAGTTCAGTTCTAGTTCAGTTCTAGTTCAGTTCTAGTTCAGTTCTAGTTCAGTTCTAGTTCAGTTCTAGTTCAGTTCTAGTTCAGTTCTAGTTCAGTTCAGTTCAGTTCTAGTTCAGTTCTAGTTCAGTTCCAGTTCAGTTTTAGTTCAGTTCTAGTTCAGTTCTAGTTCAGTTTTAGTTCAGTTCTAGTTCAGTTCTAATTCAGTTCAAGTTAAGTTGTAGATCAAATGACTTGAGTTACAAAGGCACCTTAAATATCGTTGCAATGTAGTTGTGTTTGGAGTGTAACTGAGTTTTGTAGAACGAAAAAATTATCAATTTTGAAAACATGAAACGTATAAAAATGAAATGAACAAATGAAACGTATAAAGAAGAATATAAAGGAAAAAGATAACAAGAAGAAATGCATTTTTTGAAAATTTTCAAAACATAGATCTATGAGTGTACCCGTTATTGTTATTATTATGGCCATTTTGTATTTGCGCCACATTATCCTCAGAATCTGACCTGCTTAAACTGCCACCATCATCTTGTTGGAAATCGCCGTCGTAATTGTTGTCCTCAGTGCTACCATTGGAATGCCTAGAAAAAAATGGAAAGTTATAATGTTTAAAAAAGTATTTTGTTTACAAATTTCCTCAAATTTACCTCGACGATCGATGACCATTGTTCATCGTATTGCGATTTGCTTGCGGACTATTATTTGCCATGGGTATTTGATTTGCCTTCTCTAAATAGCCTTGATATTTCTTCAAGTCAATTTTCAATTTCTCCAGCTTATGTTCCGATTCATTTAATTGACCCTCCACTGTCATGGGATTGCCCAGCGATGAATTGGCCTCATAGACGACTTTCATTTTCATGAGACCATCTCGTGCGGCAGTTTCCTGTTGGATTTTCTGTTGTAATTCTGCAATTTTTGCTTGTAACTTTTTGCGTCTTTGATTTGGTGGTAAATCACTGAAATCTTCCTTTTGTCCGTCCGCAGTTAAGGAATTCTAAATGAGGGGAAATATTATGTGATATTAGTATAAGGTTTGTTCGTATTATAATTGATGTGTTTAATAAATTTATGTATATAATGGACATTGAGAGTTTAATTTGTTTACTTAATTTTATTAATATTAAAGAGAGTGAGACAGCGAGAGAGAGAGAGAGTTTAACAACAGATCATACAAAACAACATTTGCCAGGCCAATAAAAAAAAAACTTAAAATCTTTTATAAATTATAAAATTTGTTTAAAACTAATTTTTCTAACTAAAAACATTATATTCAAATTTGTTCTTAAATTTATAGTAAAAACTGTAGTGATTCTCCTAAATTAATAAAAAAAATACCGTGAATCTAGTGAGTTAGTTTTGATTCAAAAATATTTCAAAACTGTAACGATATTTGAAAAGGTGATAAAGATTTGTAGAGCTGGTAGTGAGAAAGTGATTTAAAAGTGAAAAGTGTTAGAGAGAGAGACAGAGTAACAGATTTAGACAGATTTTTCTATATATACAGAGTAGTAGTAGTGTTAATTTTTTAAGATTTACTTCCAATTTATATTTTCATATTTATACTAATACAAAATTTACTTAAATATTAAACTTAATCTTATAAATTAAATCAACATTCTTTGGTTATTTATTTAATTTACTTTAATTACTTATTTTGTTTTTAAAAACTTAATTTCATTTATTCATACCTTCATAGTGATACAGGCTTCAATAATCTTCTGTTGCTGTTACAGAGAAGAATTTTTGAAATTGTATCACATTTTTTTTTTAGAAAACAAAGTTTCAACAAAATTTTGTTTAAGAAAATTTTAAAATTAAACAAATTTTCAAAAAAATCCACCAATTTTTTTTTTTATAACATTGGAAGAGTGTAGTGTAAATTGTGTTTTTTTTGTTTAAATTTTTGTTGATGATTTTTAATGAGAAAGTTGATGAGTTGTGTAGTCGAGAGTAGAGTAGATTAGATGATTAAAAAATATTAGTTGTTATTTGTGTTTTTGTTTTAATGAAAAAATGAAAATGTAATGTATAAAAAGCAGTTTGAAATACTAAAGAAAATGTTTGTGTTTAAATAAAATAAGAAATAAGTAATAAATGTAATTTTTTACAATAAAACTGATAAAATAAGATAAAAAGCTTAAAATTAAAAAGAAAAAATAATTTAGACTGCAAAAAAACTTTAAATTAAGATAGTTTATAAAGAGAAAGATACAATTTTATTTCAAACCATTTCAATCTAATTATCTCTTTGTTGAAATATTTTGCTCAGTTCTGGTTCAATCAGTTCTAGTTCAGTTCGATTTCAGTGCTAGTTCACTGCTAGTTCTAGTTGAGTTCAGTTCCAGTTCAGTTCTAGTTCAGTTCAGTTCAGTTCTAGTTCAGTTCTAGTTCAGTTCTAGTTCAGTTCTAGTTCAGTTCTAGTTCAGTTCTAGTTCAGTTCTAGTTCAGTTCTAGTTAAGTTCTAGTTCAGTTCTAGTTCAGGTCTAGTTCAGTTCTAGTTCAGTTCTAGTTCAGTTCTAGTTCAGTTCTGGTTCAGTTCTAGTTCAGTTCTAGTTCAGTTCTAGTTCAGTTCTAGTTCAGTTCTAGTTCAGTTCTGGTTCAGTTCTAGTTCAGTTCTAGTTCAGTTCTAGTTCAGTTCTAGTTCAGTTCTAGTTCAGTTCTAGTTCAGTTCTAGTTCAGTTCTAGTTCAGTTCTAGTTCAGTTCTAGTTCAGTTCTAGTTCAGTTCTAGTTCAGTTCTAGTTCAGTTCTAGTTCAGTTCTAGTTCAGTTCTAGTTCAGTTCTAGTTCAGTTCTAGTTCAGTTCTAGTTCAGTTCTAGTTCAGTTCTAGTTCAGTTCTAGTTCAGTTCTAGTTCAGTTCTAGTTCAGTTCTAGTTCAGTTCTAGTTCAGTTCTAGTTCAGTTCTAGTTCAGTTCTAGTTCAGTTCTAGTTCAGTTCTAGTTCAGTTCTAGTTCAGTTCTAGTTCAGTTCTAGTTCAGTTCTAGTTCAGTTCTAGTTCAGTTCTAGTTCAGTTCAGTTCGTGTTCTAGTTCAGTTCTAGTTCAGTTCTAGTTCAGTTCTAGTTCAGTTCTAGTTCAGTTCTAGTTCAGTTCTAGTTCAGTTCTAGTTCAGTTCTAGTTCAGTTTAGTTCAGTTCTAGTTCAGTTCTAGTTCAGTTCTAGTTCAGTTCTAGTTCAGTTCTAGTTCAGTTCTAGTTCAGTTCTAGTTCAGTTCTAGTTCAGTTCTAGTTCAGTTCTAGTTCAGTTCTAGTTCAGTTCTAGTTCAGTTCTAGTTCAGTTCTAGTTCAGTTCTAGTTCAGTTCTAGTTCAGTTTCTAGTTCAGTTCTAGTTCAGTTCTAGTTCAGTTCTAGTTCAGTTCTAGTTCAGTTCTAGTTCAGTTCTAGTTCAGTTCTAGTTCAGTTCTAGTTCAGTTCAGTTCTAGTTCAGTTCAGTAAGTTCTAGTTCAGTTCTAGTTCAGTTCTAGTTCAGTTCTAGTTGCAGTTCTAGTTCAGTTCTAGTTCAGTTCTAGTTCAGTTCTAGTTCAGTTCTAGTTCAGTTCTAGTTCAGTTCTAGTTCAGTTCTAGTTCAGTTCTGTCAGTTTAGTCAGCTCTAGTTGAGTTCTAGTTGAGTTCCAGTTCAAGTTCTAGTTATAGTTTAGTTTTAGTTCAATTCTAGTGCTCCTGTGCTTACTAATTATGAGCCAATTATAGTTTTTAATCATTGTTTGAACTAATTTAACTGACCTATTAACCTAACCATCAATATACCTAAATATTTCTCAATAAATCAAATACATTTTGTAAAATGAATCCAAAAATAAATAGTAATGACACACAAAAATTGTTTGCACTATATTAAAATCAAATAATAGTAAAATAAAGCCATAATTTAAATATCGAATGACACATTTAAAGTAAAAAGAGACTGGCAAATTTGTTTTAAAGATTCATAAAAAAACACACAAAAGATTATAAACATAAAGTAGGGAAATTCAAGACATTTAGTTTTCAGTTCCTTCATGACAATTCCTTCCAGATTAAAAATAAGTCAATGAAAAGTTGTGATTAGTTTTGTATTTGAATTTTTTTGCACTTCCATACGTCCAGAGGGAACTGTCAGTGAATAATTAGGTTTATATGTAAATGATTTGCGAAAACAAATAATGATGCAAATTAATTTCTATTGGATGAGACATGTTTTTCTTGTTTATGTGAAAATTTGTTTTAAAGAAAACAAAGACAATTTGTCTAAAAAACAAAATGAAAATTAATGAGAGTAAATGATGATGATGAAAGGAGCCAAATAAGTATTCTGTTTTCTTTTTTAGTAAAATGACAAACACAGTAAAAACAATCAATAGTTATAAACAATATAAACAAATATTACCAACAAACACAAGAAAGGAAATGAAAATGAAAGCCGATTTGAGAAATATTCGAATTATGGCCAAGTTTTTAAAAAAGGATGAGAAGAGGAGTATTAAAGAGAGACAGGAGGAGGAGGAGGAACGGTACGAAAAAATGTGAGACAATAACATAATACCACACACAGGGGTCTTACTAAGGAGGACATTTTGTACTTACATTAATTATAAAGCAGTAGAAGTAGAAGATAATTTAAAACAATAGTTCAAATCATCCGCAAATAAATACATTTGTTTATTATTGGTTCATGTGGTTGTTTTTGGTTTTAAAACAAATATGTAGAGAGAGAGAGTATGTGACACAAAATCGAGAGAGCAACAATAATGTATGTATTTTTCGAGAAAAATCATCGATTTTCAATGATAATTATACAAAATAATGTTTGATAATAAAAATGGTTTTTAGAGTAAAAAAAAGAAAAGAGACAAATAAAGAAAAAAAAGAAGACTTGATGAGTATTTTGAGAATGCAGTAGAAATCTTTCAAAGCAGACTTATTTCTAACAAAACTAAAATAAATTCACAAACATTTGGAATTGAAAATTAAAAAAATAATAATAAAAATAAAATAATAAAACAAACACATTTAACTAACTACTAGAAAACATTTAAATCATTTCAAAAAACTTTAAAACGGTTACTTAAATGAAATAAAAAGATCATAATAAAATCTTTAATTCCTTTTAGTTTTCCTTTTTAAAGCCAATTATTGATCATTTAATTGTTAAACGAATCTTACCTTATTACTGCCAAATATATTGAAAATTCCCACACGTTTCTTTAGTTTATTGGCACTTAGTGTACCCTTAACGGTTAAATGACTCGACTGTATTGGATGATTATAGTGGGAATCTTGTGATGAATCAAGGGTATCTTGTTTGGATAAATCTTCGAAAGGTATATCTTGTGGTGGGGTAAAACCAGATTGATATCTATTAAAAAAAAAAACAAATTTTAATTATCATTTAGCTTATTGTTCCTTTTTTCTTGTAAAACTATGATTCTTTTCTTACCTTTCTATAACTTTATAAGAATCTTCTCTTTCATTTATCGCTTCTCCCGCTTTTACAATACCCTCTAAACATCTGCCTATAATGGGTGCAACATTAGACTCTACATTTGCAGATTCTATGATGAATTCTCGTATGCCACGTGTACGTTTTTCGTCCAATTCTTGTAGGCGATTGAAGACCTGTAGAAAATAGAAACATTTTACGAATTTGTAAAAATTACTAAAGTAGAACTGAACAAGAACTGAATTAGAACTGAACTAGAACTGAACTAGAACTGAACTAGAACAGAACTAGAACTGAACTAGAACTGAACTAGAACTGAACTAGAACTGAACTAGAACTGAACTAGAACTGAACTAGAACTGAACTAGAACTGAACTAGAACTGAACTAGAACTGAACTAGAACTGAACTAGAACTGAACTAGAACTGAACTAGAACTGAACTAGAACTGAACTAGAAACTGAACTAGAACTGAACTAGAACTGAACTAGAACTGAACTAGAACTGAACTAGAACTGAACTAGAACTGAACTAGAAACTGAACTAGAAACTGAACTAGAACTGAACTAGAACTGAACTAGAACTGAACTAGAACTGAACTAGAACTGAACTAGAACTGAACTAGAACTGAACTAGAACTGAACTAGAACTGAACTAGAACTGAACTAGAAACTGAACTAGAACTGAACTAGAACTGAACTAGAACTGAACTAGAACTGAACTAGAACTGAACTAGAACTGAACTAGAACTGAACTAGAACTGAACTAGAACTGAACTAGAACTGAACTAGAACTGAACTAGAACTGAACTAGAACTGAACTAGAACTGAACTAGAACTGAACTAAGAACTGAACTAGAACTGAACTGAAACTGAACTAGAACTGAACTAGAACTGAACTAGAACTGACTGAACTGAACTAGAACTGAACTAGAACTGAACTTGACTAGAACTGAACTAGAACTTAACTGAATCAAAAAATGTCTGTCCCCTTACCTCTGGCAATAGTTCATTGTAATGCTGTTGCTGTGTAAATTATTCGTTTTTTGCAATTGATGGCATATTCATTTTTCGCATCATCCGATTGTTGATGATTTTTGCTGTCATTATATTTTATAACGCTCGACTTCAGCTCGACTTAGATTTAAATCCATATCGGCTTTTTTATAATTTCCACCGCTTTTTCGGAGTCACGATAGGCTTTCTCATAGTTACGTTTGGCCGCTCCACTGAGGCCAATTGTGTGGTGAGGTTTTGTTTGTAAATATGTGCCATTTGAAAGACATTTCTAAAAGGAAACAAACAGAAAACAGTTAAATGAGATTTTGGACTGTTTACTTATACCAATGAGAAAACTTACTTTTCTTTCTTCTCTTAGGGTTTTGGAGAGCAGTGAAATGCCTTGTAAAATTTGTAATTGCAGGGATTCCGCTACCACTTCCCGTTGTCCTGCCAAATCACTGATTTCATTGAGTACTTTACGGAAAGCTTGCCATGATGTAAATCTATTGAGAAACAAATCAAATAGGTTTTAGATAAAGAATTGTTGATACTTTTTCTAAAAATTATACTAAAAGGTATCTAAAAAGTACTTTTTTTCTTAAGTTTATCCCCATATTCCCTTATAACTTGTATTATAACATTTCAGTACGCTTTTTACTATAAAAGGACTTGTAAATAAAGTTAAATAAGTTCTTAACATAATTCATAAACAAGAATAAACATAATCATTTAAGTCTTCAGACAGTCACATACTGCTTTAGCGCCGCCATGTACGCCAACTTTTAATTTCTTGACCATTTTACCATTAAAAATATAGAAATCGAAAAAGTACTTATGAATTCATAATTGTTAACAATTGGCGTCATAGGTGACATCATGTCTCTTCTACAGACATAAATATTTCGTTTAAATTACTTTAATACGCATTCACTCACTCACTTCAAATAGTAGTAATCGACCATAATCGGCCATAAACGTTCTACTTCAGACAATACAAAATCCAAAAAAAAAAAAAAAACTAAAATGTTTTCTTTACACTTGAAAGTACATAAAATGATAAATAATAAAAAATATTTGCACTACGCATTTTCTGATATCAAGTGGAATTTAGGGTGACCAGAGGCATAATTCGTTTGTATCCTCACATACTGTAGTTAGAGCTACAGATCATTCTACAGTTTGGTTTTAATATTATACTATAACATAATAATGTGAACTACAGAAGATCAGTCTATAGTCTGAAATATCGATCAGTCTAGAGTCTGTATTATAGATCATTTTATAGTTCGGACTATAGATCAGGCTATAGTCAGGACTATAGATCAATCAATAGTTAGGCATATAGATCAGTCTATAGTCAGGACTATAGATCAGCCTATAGTCTGAGCTATAGACCAGCCTAAAGTTATGACTATAGATCAGCCTAAAGTTTGGACTATAGATCAGCCTATAGTCTGGACTATAGATCAGCCTATAGTCTGGACTATAGATCAGTCTATAGTCTGGACTATAGATCAGTCTATAGTCAGGACTATAGGCCAGTCTATTGTCAGGACTATAGATCAGTCTATAGTCAGGACTATAGATCAGTCTATAGTCAGGACTATAGATCAGTCTATAGTCAGGACTATAGATCAGTCTATAGTCAGGACTATAGATCAGTCTATAGTCAGGACTATAGATCAGTCTATAGTCAGGACTATAGATCAGTCTATAGTCAGGACTATAGATCAGTCTATAGTCAGGACTATAGATCAGTCTATAGTCAGGACTATAGATCAGTCTATAGTCAGGACTATAGATCAGTCTATAGTCAGGACTATAGATCAGTCTATAGTCAGGAATATAGATCAGTCTATAGTCAGACCTATAGATCAGTCTATAGTCAGGACAATACATCAGTCAATAGTCAGGACAATAGATCAGTCTATAGTCAGGACTATAGATCAGTCTATAGTCAGGACTATAGATCAGTCTAAAGTCAGGACTATAAAGCAGTCTATAGTCAAGACTATAGATCCGTATATAATCAGGACTATAGATCCGTCTATAATCAGGACTATGGATCAGTCTATAGTCAGAACTATAGATTAGTCTATAGCCAGAACTATAGATCAGTCTATAGCCAGAACTATAGATCAGTCTATAGTTTGGACTATAGATCAGTCTATAGTCTGGAGTATAGATCAGTCTATAGTCTGGACTATAGATCAGTCTGTAGTCTGGACTATAGGCCAGTCTATAGTCTGGACTATAGACCAGTCTATAGTTTCGACTATAGATCAGTCAATAGTCTAGACTATAGCGCCGTCAATAGTCAGGACTATAGCTCAGTCAATAGTCTGGATTATAGATCAATCTATAGTCAGGACTATAGATCAATTTATAGTCAGGACTATAGAACAGTCTATAGTCTGGCCTATAGAACAGACTATAGTCTGGGCTATAGAACAATCCATAGTCTGAGCTACATATAAGTCTATAGTTTAAGCTAAATATAAGTTTATAGTCTGAACTATATATTAGTCTATAGTCTCAACTATAGATCAGTCGATTATAGATCAGCTTATAGTCTCGACTATAGATCGGTCTATAGGCTAGTCTATAGATCAGTTTTGGACAGCAGTTGAAACTCTAAACTATAGATCAAACTTTTGATGCCCATTAAAATTAGTTATCAAATTACTTCTTCGAAAAAAAACTTGTTTACCTCCAAATTTGTTTATAATTTAATTTTATTTCTTTTATTTTTTAAAAAAAACACATTTTGACGTAAGTTAATCTACCATAAAAAGTCTCTCTTTCTAAACATATTTGGTGTGTCGTAGTTATAATAATAAAATAGCTAAAACATTTACTCATAATTAATTGTCAACTAAACTGCCGCAGAGCCAGCCAGCCAACCAAACATCCATCCATCTATTCCAAACTAAGCTGTCACTCAAGTCATTCAACTTGTTGGAGTTGTGTGTGCGATTTTTTTCTGTGGACTTTTCTTTATATGTTTTTTTTTTAATTTATATTTAACGTGGGCTTTTAATAAAAGTGATTACGTGCTGACACGTGAAAACGTAAGGTTTTAATGTGTAGATAATTTGTATTAGTTTTTGTTATATATTTTAGTTGTTAAATTGACATAATAAAAGTAGGTGTCTAAATTATACTATCACTAAAATAAAGATGCTTTAAACAGTTTTATAATTGGTCATTTGCGGAAAATAGAAGGAGATTAATTTTGATATTAAATTTACGTTTAAAAAATCTTAGAAGCTTTTATTTTGATCTGCAATCCAGATTATAGTTCGATCTAAAGTCTGGACCTAATTTTTATGTACACTTTAGTCTAAAATTCCTATAGTCTATATATGTAGTGTTCTATAGTTTGATCTATAGTATAAACTGATATATAGTTCAGATTATAGACTGAGCCTTATTGCAGACTATAAACTGATCTATAGTCCAGACGATGGACTTATCTGGAGTCCAGTCTAATCTAGAGTCCAGACTGATCTATTGTCCAGACTATAAACTGATCTGTAGTCCAGACTATAGACAGATCAATAGGCCAGACTATAGACAGATCTGTAGTCCAGACTATAGAATGATCTATAGTCCAGACTATAGACTGATCTATAGTCCAGACTATAGACTGATCTATAGTCCAGACTATAGACTGATCTATAGTCCAGACTATAGACTGATCTATAGTCCAGACTATAGACTGATCTATAGTCCAGACTATAGACTGATCTATAGTCCAGACTATAGACTGATCTATAGTCCAGACTATAGACTGATCTATAGTCCAGACTATAGACTGCTCAATAGTTCAGACTATAGACTGATCTATAGTCCAGACTATAGACTGATCTATATTCCAGACTATAGACTGATCTATAGTCCAGACTATAGACTGATCTATAGTCCAGGCTATAGACTGATCTATAGTCCAGATTATAGACTGATCTATAGTCCAGACTATAGACTGATCTATAGTCCAGACTATAGACTGATCTATAGTCCAGACTAGAGACTGATCTATAGTCCAGACTATAGACTGATCTATAGTCCAGACTATAGACTGATCTATAGTCCAGACTATAGACTGATCTATAGTCCAGACTAGAGGACTGATCTATAGTCCAGACTATAGACTGATCTATAGTCCAGACTATAGACTGATCTATAGTCCAGACTATAGACTGATCTATAGTCCAGACTATAGACTGATCTATAGTCCAGACTATAGACTGATCTATAGTCCAGACTATAGACTGATCTATAGTCCAGACTATAGACTGATCTATAGTCCAGACTATAGACTGATCTATAGTCCAGACTATAGACTGATCTATAGTCCAGACTATAGACTGATCTATAGTCCAGACTATAGACTGATCTATAGTCCAGACTATAGACTGATCTATATTGCAGAAGAAAAAACGAAACGAAAGAAACGAACGAACGAAGAAACGAAAAAACGAAAGAAAGAAACGAACGAAAACGAAAAAACGACGAACGAACGAACGAACGAAAACGAACGAAAACGAAGAACGAAACGAACGAACGAAAGAACGAACGAAAACGAACGAAACAAACGAAACGAACGAAGAACGAACGAACGAACGAAACGAAAAAACGAAACAAAGAAACGAACGAAACGAAAAACAAAGAACAAGAAAGAAACGAAAACGAACGAACGAAAGACAAACAAGAACGAACGAACAAAACGAACGAACGAAGAACGAAAAAAACGAACTAAAACGAACGAACTAAACTAACTAACAACTAACAAACTACTAACTAACTAACTAAACAAACGAACTAACGAACAACGAAACTAACTAACTAACGTAACTAATAACTAAACTAACTAACGAACTAAACTAACTAACAATAACTAACTAACTAACTAACTACTAGTTAACTAACTACTAACTAACTAATTAACTAACTAACTAAGCAAATAAATAACTAGTGCAATTATTAGTTTGATCTGCAGTCCAGACTGTAGTTTGATCTATAAGCAAGTCCACAGTTTGATCTCTAATTACGATAAAAGGTTGATGATAGTTTGCAGATGATAGTTTGATCTTCTGTTCATCACTAGCACATATTTTAGTTTAATCTCTAGTGTATGCTATAGATTGATCTCCATATAGTGCTACAGTGTGATCTCTAGTCCAGACTATAGATTGTTCGATTGTTTGATCTGATGATCAGATTATATTATGATCTATAGCTCTATCCATTTTCTCTTCCATTGATAGTTGTTCTATATAATGGAAACTAAATTAATCTATATTAGTCCAAAGCCTAAAGAGGATCTTAAAAACGAAAAACCCCTTTTATAAGTACATATTAATAAGCTAATATCAAAGTAATTTTTTCGACTTTTTTTCTATTTGCATGGCCATTATTTTCATTTTCTTTGCCATACAATTTTGGCAAAGTTTCAAGAGGAAAAAAAAGAAAGAAAAAAATCGATTTTATTTATTCACATGGTTTATATCAAATAATAAATATTATACCAGTAAATTAAAGAATAAATAGAAAAATAAATAAAATGAAAGAAATATAACATAATAATACTAATATTTAAATGTAAACAAAAAAAAAAATGAAAAGCAAAATAACAAATTAAAAAGAAACTACGTAAGTTTGCAAAACTAAATTTATATAAATAATTTAATAATATACTTTCCTTTAATTAAATAAATAAAGTGATTAAAACTAAAACTAAAAAAAAATATATATATAAAGTTTAAAAAAAATCACTTACTCATTATCTTCTTCTTCTTTCTTTTTGGGCTGATAATTTTTCACTAATCGCCTGTAAAAATAGAAAAAAAAAGAAAAAGATTGAAAAAAGAGAAATTATTATAAAGATTTAATTTAATCAATGATTAATTGGGTTAGTAATTGTTTTATGATTTGTTTCTTTTTATTATTTTTTTATATATTTAGACATGATAGAAATTGTAACAACAAAGAGAAAGAATTATGCATATTATAATATTAATAAAACATGCTTATTATCTTCATTATTATAAACAAATTAACAATTAACATCATCATCATTATTATTAGTATTATTGTTGTTATTTAGTTGGTTACTACTACCTCAACGTGTGGCATGTAACTAACCACTTTTAAGAGTTTTGTTTTTAATTTAATCTGATTTTTGTTAGAGGCTTAAATAAACGTTGCAACGTTTTTTTTAACATGCAACATTATTTGTTGTTTTTTTTTTGCTTATTTTTGTATTTGGTTTTCTTTTTTTTATTTATTTTTTTTTTTTTTTTGTTAAGCGGTGAAAATTAAAATTGATTTAACAAATATGAAGAGGAAAATTGGTGAAAAATATCCAATATATTGAAGCGGATAAATATGGGCTTTTAAACTTCAGTTAATTAATTTGTATTTAACTGTAACACCTTTAACTTTATCCTTGTGTAGAGAGAGCTTTCGGGAGAGTGGAAGAGAGATTGTGATGCTTTTATGAGAGATCAACAGATTAGTGTTTCAATAAAAGTACTTAATGTATAAAGTTGTTTGTGCTTTTGTCGAGGCAAAAGATTGATCTATAGTCCAGACTATAGTTTTATCTAAAATCTAGACTTTAGTATAGATTTAGTTTAATTTAGTCCGGACTATAGTTTCGTCTATAGTCCAGACTATAATTTGATCTATAATCTAGACTACAGTTTGATCTATAGTCCAGACTATAATTTGATCTATAATCTAGTCTATAGTTTGATCTTTAGTCCAGTTTGGACTATAGTAGGATCTATAGTCCGTCTGGACTGTACATTGATCTAGAGTATTGACTTTAGTTTGATTTATAGCTCATACTTGATTCATTTTCTAAACTATATTTTGCTTTATAGTCTGGACTAATTTGATGTATAGACAAGACTATAGTTTGATCTATTGACAAGACTATAGTTTCATCTATAGTCACGACTATAGTTTGATATATAGTCTAGAGTCTAGACTACAGTTTGATCTATAGTCTAGACTATTGTTTTGATCTATAGTCTAGACTACAGTTTGATCTATAGTCAAGACTATAGTTTGATCTTTTGTCTAGACTATAGTTTGATCTATAGTCTAGGCTATAGTTTGATCTATAGTCTAGGCTATAGTTTGATCTATAGTCTAGACTATAGTTTGGTTTATAGTCTACACTATAGTTTGATCTATGTCTAAACTATAATTTGATCTATAGTCTATACTACAGTTTGATCTATACTCTAGACTATAGTTTGATCTATAGTCTAGGCTATAGTTTGATCTATAGTCTAGGCTATAGTTTGATATATAGTCTAGACTATAGTTTGGTTTATAGTCTACACTATAGTTTGATCTATGTCTAAACTATAATTTGATCTATAGTCTAGACTATAGTTTGATCTATAGACTATACTAGTGTGATCTATAGTCTATATTTTGATCTATAGTCTAGACTATAGTTTGATCTATAGTCCAGACTATAGTTTGATCTAAGGTCTAGACTATATTTTAATCAATAGTCTAGACTATAGTTTGATCTATACTCTAGACTATAATTTGATCTATACCCTAGACTTTGATCTATAGTCTAGTCCACATTTTAATCTATAGTTTAGCCAATAGTTTGATCTAGACTGTAGACGATATTTTGATCTAGATCAAACTATAGTTTGATCAAACTATAATTTGATCTGTGGTCTAGACTATAGTTTAATCTATAGTCTAGACTATAGTTTGATCTATACTCTGGACTATGGTTTGATCTAAATTCTAGATTATAGTGTTTGATCTTTATTCCAGACTATAGTTTGATCTATACTCTAGACTATAGTTTGATATATAGTCTAGACTATGACTTGATATATAGTCTAGACTATAGCTTGATCTATAGTCTAGACTAAAGTTTGATCTATAGTCTATACTACAATTTAATCTATAGTCCATATAGTTTGATCTGTTTTCTAGGCTATAGTTTAATCTATAGTCTAGACTATAGCTTGATATATAGTCTAGACTATAGCTTGATCTATAGTATAGATTAAAGTTTGATCTATAGTCTAGACTATAGTTTGTTCTGTAGTCTAAAATATAGTTCGATCTATAGATCGATGTAGTTTAATCTATACTTCAGACTATAGTTTGATCTATAGTATAGTTCCAGATGTAGTTTGATATATAGGTTTTATATTTTAGACTGTAGTTTGATCTAAAGTCTGTAGTTTAGACTATAGTTTGATCTATAGTCAATACTATAGTTCGATATATTGTGCATAATACTGTTTGATCTAGAGCCCAGACTATCGTTCGATCTTTAGTCCAAATTATAGTCTAGTCTATACATTGATCTATAGTCTCTTGTACAGACTATAGTTTGATCTTTAGTCTATAGCTCAGACTATAGTTTAATCGATAATTCAGATTATATGTGGATTGATTTGTTGTTCTACTATATTTTGATCAGTGGCCCAGACTAAAATTTGATCTATAGATTTTAGTTTAAACAATAGTTGCAGTTCAGTTCGATTGTCAAAACTACAGTTTGATCATTAACCGAAAATATATTTTGATCTTTACTTTCGACACAATTACTTTTTTTATCAAGAATTCCTAATTAAATCATTTACAATTGATGTACAAATTTCATTGACCCAGATTGATGTAAAAATTTCATTAACCCAGATTGATGTAAAAATTGTTTAAACTTAATAAATTTATAAATAAACCAATTTTAAAAGAATTTCTAAAATTTGTACTGACACACTTATCTGGTCCTGGAAAAACAATAACAAAAGAAAACAAAGTATTCTAATAATGAAAAGTAAACGTCAAGTACTGACTTGCTAAAATATAGTTAAATTTACTATGATATCTGCTGCTTCGGCACACGTCACGATCTCAATGTTTATATTTGATTCGATATCGAGCTAGATTATAAATATTTGAAGATTGATATGATAACTGTAGTTTTTATAGCATATTTATTTAAAGTGTTTAATTTATCAAAGTAAAATTTAAAAAATCACGCAAAAAGTGCCTTACAAATGTTTGAAAATTTTAACGTTTGTCGGTGATAGTTTATAATCTCTTACGGAAAGTGGGTTTAGGGAACTATAGTCAGACATTATCAAAATATTATCTAATAATATGACTAATCATTTTGGAATATTTCATTCAACTTTATATTAATATGCTTAAAATTACTGTTAGTTATTAGTTTTCGCTTCCCTTAACTTAATTTTGAGAAACTTAATAAATCAAATTATCATCTTCTCTATATTACCGGCTCAAGGGCTTTAGGGAAAAAATAGATTGCTGTTAAAAATATATTGATTGCATTTTCCTAATACAATTAGTTTGTCATCAGCTTGTCATGTTTACTCCAAAAACAACTAAGTATAGACATTAATAATCTCCAGATAATTTCATAATCAAGATTATAATCATTATCATCTTATCCCATAGACATAAACATAAATTTTTCCTTAATTTAATAAAAAAAGAAGATGAATTTTGTTGATTTTTAATGATATAATAACGAGCTGCAAGATAAAAAGAAAATAAAACCCACAAACAATTTCCAACTTAGACTATATCGAAGCTAAAGGACGGACAAATACAGCAAAGTCAACAATTTTAAGTCGTGTTGGTTTTTTCACTATAATTCTCTTGTTAAAATAGTTGTTGCTGTTGCAAGTTTTTGTTGCTGGCAGCCAATAGGTGCAGAAATATGTCTTGCTGCTAAATTTGTCAAATCCAAAGAAAATTATTACAAAATAAAGTGAAGAAATTAAATTGTCCCCTTAGTCAACTGTTCAAGAAAACCCTTTAATTTCAGTTAAAAACAATTTTCTTATATTCACATTTATAAAACAATTACTATATTAGTTTTGTCACAATATACTTCTCACTAGAGAATACACTAGCCACTAAAAGTCTGTGAAGTAACTAATGAAAGGAATTACGTAACTTCAAACAAACAGATTAATACTTTTTGAAAGTTATTTTTTTTCTTCTTTAACAATTCTCTCAGACTTTAACTACTATTCTTCAATTTCAACAGCCAATAACTTGCTAAAAACCAACTCATCCCCTTATTACATTTCTCTAATACCATGCTATAGTTTAGTGTTAACGAAATAAATGTCTTTTTCTTTTCACATTTTCTTTTAGCCATATCTGTCTTGACTTCTTTAAACGTACCATAAATATTTTTCCCATGATTAACCTATTTAAAGTGCAAAGAAATATAAATTTGTATATTTTATCATTTCGTTATGGCAAATAATAATGCAATACATAATAATTTTTGTTTTGTCTAAACCATGCGAAACCGTTTTTACTTGCAATTTAATGACTGTCACTATCATGGAGTGTAAAGTAATAAAATTTAATAGCGACATTTGTAACAAAAATTTAAATATTTTTTTTTTTTTTGAAAGATAATTGTGGAAATGTTTAAACAAAATATTATTAGGAAATTTTCGTTGGCAGCAAATTGTTAAACTGTAAGACAACGGTTGTTGTACAAATAGTTTAGAGATAATTCATTTAATTGATGAAAGAATTGCTTAACTAATTAAATGATTTCTGGTGCATGTAAAATTTGTTTAAATAAAAGAGAATTGAAGTAATTGTACGGTTGATGTAATATTTGTTTAATGATATTTTACTTATTGATGAAAGAATTATTCAATTAAGAGATCTAACTAACTAACTACTACTAACTAACTAACTAACTAACTACTAACTAACTAACTAACTAACTAACTACTAACTAACTAACTAACTAACTAACTACAACTAACTACTAACTAACTA